GTGTTGTGGCGGCCGTTGTTCCGGGCTTGGCCGGGCTTGCCATGCTTTTGACTGCACTCCTGATGCAAGGGTTGAAGGGAATCAAGACAGCCCATGTCTTGTACGTTTGCCTAATTTCCGTGGAGTATGTGGATAAACAACGTACATTTCAGACTGGAAATGCACTTCATATTTTTAAAAACGAGACTTCTCATTTCAGACAACATTTTGCACTGAAAGTGTACTGGACATGTAACAGCTTTAAATATTTATTGCTGTAATATGCTGTAATAATGTAATTTAGATACGTTAAATTGTTATCTTAATTTAAATACTGGTTGGAGGTTTGTGAACAGCATTCGCCACATGTCAGCATTACCAGATTTAAGGTAACATTGAGTTGAATATAAGTATAGAAGTATACATTACCAGTATGTTCTGTATTATAAGTTTAGAATTGTTTCAGTGCAATCACTTAAAATTAAAATGTGAAAAAATAAGAAAAGACTACAAAATCTTCTACAATTTTTAAAGTCTTTCTGATTTTTAAACATCCCTGAGCTGAATTCCTAATTTGCATAACTTAGAATTCCTAGGAATTCCCAGGAATTCCAAGCCCAGTTGGCCTGAATTTTTCTATTCCCAGAAATTCTCAACAATTCTTAAGCTTCTAAAATTGTAAAACTTAGAATTCCTAGGAATTCCTAGGAATTCCAAGCCTAGAGTGAGACCTAATTTGCCATTCCCAAAAATTCTCAAGAATTCCAAGCTTATTTGATGAAGGCTGATTTGCGTATTTGGGAATTTTTGGGAATTCCTAGGAATTCTCAAGAATTCCTAGGAATTCCCAGAAAGCTGGGAATTCATTTCGCAAGGGTTGTATACCCCTATATATCTTGTGTACCCATGTTTACCCTAGTAATACTGTATACACTGTATACCCTTATATATCTTGTGTACCCATGTTTACCCTAGTAATACTGTATACCCTGTATACCCCTATATATCTTGTGTACCCATGTTTACCCTAGTAATACTGTATACACTGTATACCCTTATATATCTTGTGTACCCATGTTTACCCTAGTAATACTGTATACCTTGTATATACCACTATATATCTTGTGTACCCATGTTTACCCTAGTAATACTGTATACATACCACTATATATCTTGCGTACCCATGTTTACCCTACTAATACTGTATACTCTTGTATACCACTATATATCTTGTGTACCCATGTTTACCCTAGTAATACTGTATACCCTTGTATACCACTATATATCTTGTGTACCCATGTTTACCCTAGTAATACTGTATACCCTTGTATACCCTTATATATCTTGTGTACCCATGTTTACCCTAGTAATACTGTATACCCTTGTATACCCCCTATATATCTTGTGTACCCATGTTTACCCTAGTAATACTGTATACCCTTGTATACCCCTATATATCTTGTGTACCCATGTTTACCCTAGTAATACTGTATACCTTGTATACCCCTATATATCTTGTGTACCCATGTTTACCCTAGTAATACTGTATACCCTTGTATATCTTGTGTACCCATGTTTACCCTAGTAATACTGTATACCCTTGTATACCCCCTATATATCTTGTGTACCCATGTTTACCCTAGTAATACTGTATACCTGGTATACCCCTATATATCTTGTGTACCCATGTTTACCCTAGTAATTAATACTGTATACCCTTGTATACCCCTATATATCTTATGTACCCATGTTTACCGTAGTAATACTGTATACCTTGTATACCCCTATATATCTTGTGTACCCATGTTTACCCTAGTAATACTGTATACCTTGTATACCCCTATATATCTTGTGTACCCATGTTTACCCTAGTAATACTATATACCTTGTATACCACTATATGTCTTGTGTACCCATGTTTACCCTAGTAATACTGTATACCCTTGTATACCCTTATATATCTTGTGTACCCATGTTTACCCTAGTAATACTGTATACCTTGTATACCCCTATATATCTTGTGTACCCATGTTTACCCTAGTAATACTGTATACCTTGTATATACCACTATATATCTTGTGTACCCATGTTTACCCTAGTAATACTGTATACCTTGTATACCACTATATATCTTGTGTACCCATGTTTACCCTAGTAATACTGTATACCTTGTATACCACTATATATCTTGTGTGCCCATGTTTACCCTAGTAATACTGTATACCTTGTATACCACTATATATCTTGTGTACCCATGTTTACCCTAGTAATACTGTATACCCTTGTATACCACTATATATCTTGTGTGCCCATGTTTACCCTAGTAATACTGTATGCCCTTGTATGCCCCACTATATATCTTGTGTGCCCATGTTTACCCTAGTAATACTGTATACCCTTGTATACCCCTATATATCTTGTGTGCCCATGTTTACCCTAGTAATACTGTATACCTTGTATACCACTATATATCTTGTGTTTGCCCATGTTTATACCTAGTAATACTGTTGTGTGCCCATGTATACCACTATATATCTTGTGTACCCATGTTTACCCTAGTAATACTATACCTTGTATACCACTATATATCTTGCGTACCCATGTTTACCCTACTAATACTGTATACTCTTGTATACCACTATATATCTTGTGTACCCATGTTTACCCTAGTAATACTGTATACCCTTGTATACCCCTATATATCTTGTGTACCCATGTTTACCCTAGTAATACTGTATACCCTTGTATACCCTTATATATCTTGTGTACCCATGTTTACCCTAGTAATACTGTATACCCTTGTATACCCCCTATATATCTTGTGTACCCATGTTTACCCTAGTAATACTGTTTACCTTGTATACCCCTATATATCTTGTGTTGCCCATGTTTACCCTAGTAATACTGTATACCTTGTATACCACTATATATCTCTTGTGTACCCATGTTTACCCTAGTAATACTGTATACCCTTGTATACCCCCTATATATCTTGTGTACCCATGTTTACCCTAGTAATACTGTTACCCTTGTATACCCCTATATATCTTGTGTACCCATGTTTACCCTAGTAATACTGTATACCTTGTATACCCCTATATATCTTGTGTACCCATGTTTACCCTAGTAATACTGTATACCCTTGTATACCCCCTATATATCTTGTGTACCCATGTTTACCCTAGTAATACTGTATACCCTTGTATATCCTTATATATCTTGTATCTGTTTACCCTAGTAATACTGTATACCTTGTATATACCCTTATATCTTGTGTAATGTTTACCTAGTAATACTGTATACCTTGTATACCCCTATATATCTTGTGTGCCCATGTTTACCCTAGTAATACTGTATACCTTGTATACCACTATATATCTTGTGTACCCATAATACTGTACCCTAGTAATACTGTATACCCTTGTATACCCCTATATATCTTGTGTACCCATGTTTACCCTAGTAATACTGTATACCCTTGTATACCACTATATATCTTGTGTACCCATGTTTACCCTAGTAATACTGTATGCCCTGTATATATATCTTGTGTGTTTACCCATGTTTACCCTAGTAATATCTACCCTGTATACCCTTGTGTATGTTTACCCTAGTGTACTGCCTTGTATATATCCACTATATATCTTGTACCCATGTTTACCCTAGTAATACTATACCTTGTATACCACTATATATCTTGTGTACCCATGTTTACCCTAGTAATACTGTATACCCTTGTATACCACTATATATCTTGTGTACCCATGTTTACCCTAGTAATACTGTATACCCTTGTATACCCCTATATATCTTGTGTACCCATGTTTACCCTAGTAATACTGTATACCCTTGTATATCCTATATATCTTGTGTACCCATGTTTACCCTAGTAATACTGTATACCCTTTGTATACCCTATATATCTTGTGTACCCATGTTTACCCTAGTAATACTGTATATCTTTGTATACCCCTATATATCTTGTGTACCCATGTTTACCCTAGTAATACTTTATATAATTGTATACCCTTATATATCTTGTGTACCCATGTTTACCCTACTGTATACCTTTGTATACCACTATATATCTTGTTACCCATTTTATATCCTTGTTAGTAATACTGTACCCATGTATATATCTTGTTGTGTACCCATGTTTACCCTAGTAATACTGTATACCCTTGTATACCCCTATATATCTTGTGTACCCATGTTTACCCTAGTAATACTGTATACCCTTGTATACCCTTATATATCTTGTGTACCCATGTTTACCCTAGTAATACTGTATACCCTTGTATACCCCTTATATATCTTGTGTACCCATGTTTACCCTAGTAATACTGTATACCCTTGTATACCCCCTATATATCTTGTGTACCCATGTTTACCCTAGTAATACTGTTACCCTTGTATACCCCTATATATCTTGTGTACCCATGTTTACCCTAGTAATACTGTATACCTTGTATACCCCTATATATCTTGTGTACCCATGTTTACCCTAGTAATACTGTATACCCTTGTATACCCTTATATATCTCGTGTACCCATGTTTACCCTAGTAATACTGTATACCCTTGTATACCCCCTATATATCTTGTGTACCCATGTTTACCCTAGTAATACTGTATACCTTGTATACCCCTATATATCTTGTGTACCCATGTTTACCCTAGTAATTAATACTGTATACCCTTGTATACCCCTATATATCTTGTGTACCCGTGTTTACCCTAGTAATTAATACTGTATACCCTTGTATACCCCTATATATCTTGTGTACCCATGTTTACCCTAGTAATACTGTATACCCTGTATACCCCTATATATCTTGTGTACCCATGTTTACCCTAGTAATACTGTATACCTTGTATATACCACTATATATCTTGTGTACCCATGTTTACCCTAGTAATACTGTATACCTTGTATACCACTATATATCTTGCGTACCCATGTTTACCCTACTAATACTGTATACTCTTGTATACCACTATATATCTTGTGTACCCATGTTTACCCTAGTAATACTGTATACCCTTGTATACCCCTATATATCTTGTGTACCCATGTTTACCCTAGTAATACTGTATACCCTTGTATACCCTTATATATCTTGTGTACCCATGTTTACCCTAGTAATACTGTATACCCTTGTATACCCCCTATATATCTTGTGTACCCATGTTTACCCTAGTAATACTGTTACCCTTGTATACCCTTATATATCTTGTGTACCCATGTTTACCCTAGTAATACTGTATACCTTGTATACCCCTATATATCTTGTGTACCCATGTTTACCCTAGTAATACTGTATACCTTGTATATGGTATATCTTGTTTACCCATGTTTACCCTAGTAATACCTTAGTAATACTGTATACCCTTTTACCCTATACCATATATATATCTTGTGTACCCATGTTTACCCTAGTAATACTGTATACCTTGTATACCCTATATATCTTGTGTACCCATGTTTACCCTAGTAATACTGTATACCCTTGTATACCCTTATATATCTTGTGTACCCATGTTTACCCTAGTAATACTGTATACCCTTGTATACCCCTATATATCTTGTGTACCCATGTTTACCCTAGTAATACTGTATACCCTTGTATACCACTATATATCTTGTGTACCCATGTTTACCCTAGTAATACTGTATACCTTGTATACCACTATATATCTTGTGTACCCATGTTTATATATCTAGTAATACTGTATATGCCTTTGTATACCCCTATATATCTTGTGTACCCATGTTTATGTTTACCCTAGTAATACTGTATACCTTTGTATACCACTATATATCTTGTGTACCCATGTTTACCCTAGTAATACTGTATACCCTTGTATATACCCTATATATCTTGTGTACCCATGTTTACCCTAGTAATACTGTATACCTTGTATATATATATCTTGTGTACCCATGTTTATAGTAATACTGTATACCCTTGTATACCCCTATATATCTTGTGTACCCATGTTTACCCTAGTAATACTGTATACCCTTGTATACCCCTATATATCTTGTGTACCCATGTTTACCCTAGTAATACTGTATACCCTTGTATACCCCTATATATCTTGTGTACCCATGTTTACCCTAGTAATACTGTATACCTTGTATACCCCTATATATCTTGTGTACCCATGTTTACCCTAGTAATACTGTATACCCTTGTATACCCCTATATATCTTGTGTACCCATGTTTACCCTAGTAATACTGTATACCTTGTATACCCCTATATATCTTGTGTACCCATGTTTACCCTAGTAATACTGTATACCTTGTATATACCACTATATATCTTGTGTACCCATGTTTACCCTAGTAATACTGTATACCTTGTATACCACTATATATCTTGCGTACCCATGTTTACCCTAGTAATACTGTATACCCTTGTATACCACTATATATCTTGTGTACCCATGTTTACCCTAGTAATACTGTATACCTTGTATATACCACTATATATCTTGTGTACCCATGTTTACCCCTAGTAATACTGTATACCCTGTATGTACCTTGTATACCACTATATATCTTGTGTACCCATGTTTACCCTAGTAATACTGTATACCTTGTATACCACTATATATCTTGTGTACCCATGTTTACCCTAGTAATACTGTATACCTTGTATATACCACTATATATCTTGTGTACCCATGTTTACCCTAGTAATACTGTTTATATATCTTGTGTACCCATGTTTACCCTAGTAATACTGTATACCCTTGTATACCCTTATATATCTTGTGTGTGTTTACCCTAGTAATACTGTATACCCATCTTGTTTACTTAATATCTTGTGTACCCATGTTTAAGTAATACTGTATACCCTTGTATACCCCTATATATCTTGTGTACCCATGTTTACCCTAGTAATACTGTTTACTATATATCTTAGTAATATATATCTTAGTAATACTGTACCCCTTGTATATATATATCACCCTATATATCCTTGTATACCCTATATATCTTGTGTACCCATGTTTACCTAGTAATACTGTATACCCTTGTATACCACTATATATCTTGTGTACCCATGTTTACCCTAGTAATACTGTATACCCTTGTATACCCCTATATATCTTGTGTACACATGTTTACCCTAGTAATACTGTATACCCTTGTATACCCCTATATATCTTGTGTACCCATGTTTACCCTAGTAATACTGTATACCCTTGTATACCCCTATATATCTTGTGTACCCATGTTTACCCTAGTAATACTGTATACCCTTGTATACCCCTATATATCTTGTGTACCCATGTTTACCCTAGTAATACTGTATACCTTGTATACCCCTATATATCTTGTGTACCCATGTTTACCCTAGTAATACTGTATACCTTGTATACCCCTATATATCTTGTGTTTACCATGTTTACCCTAGTAATACTGTATACCTTGTATACCCCTATATATCTTGTGTACCCATGTTTACCCTAGTAATACTGTATATCCTTGTATACCCCTATATATCTTGTGTACCCATGTTTACCCTAGTAATACTGTATACACTGTATACCCTTATATATCTTGTGTACCCATGTTTACCCTAGTAATACTGTATACCCTGTATACCCCTATATATCTTGTGTACCCATGTTTACCCTAGTAATACTGTATACCTTGTATATACCACTATATATCTTGTGTACCCATGTTTACCCTAGTAATACTATACCTTGTATACCACTATATATCTTGCGTACCCATGTTTACCCTACTAATACTGTATACTCTTGTATACCACTATATATCTTGTGTACCCATGTTTACCCTAGTAATACTGTATACCCTTGTATACCCCCTATATATCTTGTGTACCCATGTTTACCCTAGTAATACTGTTACCCTTGTATACCCCTATATATCTTGTGTACCCATGTTTACCCTAGTAATACTGTATACCTTGTATACCCCTATATATCTTGTGTACCCATGTTTACCCTAGTAATACTGTATACCCTTGTATATCTTGTGTACCCATGTTTACCCTAGTAATACTGTATACCCTTGTATACCCCCTATATATCTTGTGTACCCATGTTTAGTAATACTGTATACCTTGTATATACCACTATATATTGTGTACCCATGTTATACCCTAGTAATACTGTATGTTTACCCTAGTATATACTATATATCTTGTGTACCCATGTTTACCCTAGTAATACCTGTATACCTTGTATACCCCTATATATATATCTTGTGTACCCATGTTTACCCTAGTAATACTGTATACCTTGTATACCCCTATATATCTTGTGTACCCATGTTTACCCTAGTAATACTGTATACCTTGTATACCACTATATGTCTTGTGTACCCATGTTTACCCTAGTAATACTGTATACCCTTGTATACCCTTATATATCTTGTGTACCCATGTTTACCCTAGTAATACTGTATACCTTGTATACCCCTATATATCTTGTGTACCCATGTTTACCCTAGTAATACTGTATACCTTGTATATACCACTATATATCTTGTGTACCCATGTTTACCCTAGTAATACTGTATACCTTGTATACCACTATATATCTTGTGTACCCATATTTACCCTAGTAATACTGTATACCCTTGTATACCACTATATATCTTGTGTACCCATGTTTACCCTAGTAATACTGTATACCCTTGTATACCCCTATATATCTTGTGTACACATGTTTACCCTAGTAATACTGTATACCCTTGTATATCCCTATATATCTTGTGTACCCATGTTTACCCTAGTAATACTGTATACCCTTGTATACCCCTATATATCTTGTGTACCCATGTTTACCCTAGTAATACTGTATACCCTTGTATACCCCTATATATCTTGTGTACCCATGTTTACCCTAGTAATACTGTATACCTTGTATACCCCTATATATCCTGTGTACCCATGTTTACCCTAGTAATACTGTATACCTTGTTACCATGGTATATCCTGTTTACCCATGTTTGACCTAGTAATACTGTATACCTTGTATACCCCTATATATCTTGTGTACCCATGTTTACCCTAGTAATACTGTATATCCTTGTATACCCCTATATATCTTGTGTACCCATGTTTACCCTAGTAATACTGTATACACTGTATACCCTTATATATCTTGTGTACCCATGTTTACCCTAGTAATACTGTATACTGTATACCTTGTATACCACTATATATCTTGCGTACCCATGTTTACCCTAGCAATACTGTATACCCTTGTATACCACTATATATCTTGTGTACCCATGTTTACCCTAGTAATACTGTATACCCTTGTATACCCCTCTATATCTTGTGTACCCATGTTTACCCTAGTAATACTGTATACCCTTGTATACCACTATATATCTTGTGTACCCATGTTTACCCTAGTAATACTGTATGCACTGTATACCCTTATATATCTTGTGTACCCATGTTTACCCTAATCTTGTGTACCCATGTTTACCCTAGTAATACTGTATACCTTGTATATACCACTATATATCTTGTGTACCCATGTTTACCCCAACCTTGTATTCCACTATATATCTTGCGTACCCATGTTTACCCTAGTAATACTGTATACCTTGTATATACCACTATATATCTTGTGTACCCATGTTTACCCTAGTAATACTGTATACCTTGTATACCACTATATATCTTGTGTACCCATGTTTACCCTAGTAATACTGTATACCCTTGTATACCACTATATATCTTGTGTACCCATGTTTACCCTAGTAATACTGTATACCCTTGTATACCCCTATATATCTTGTGTACACATGTTTACCCTAGTAATACTGTATACCCTTGTATATACCCATATATATCTTGTGTACCCATGTTTACCCTAGTAATACTGTATACCCTTGTATACCCCTATATATCTTGTGTACCCATGTTTACCCTAGTAATACTGTATACCCTTGTATACCCCTATATATCTTGTGTACCCATGTTTACCCTAGTAATACTGTATACCTTGTATACCCCTATATATCTTGTGTACCCATGTTTACCCTAGTAACAACAACAACAACAACAACAAAAGCTTTATTTGCATGACCATAAAGGAATTACAGTATTGCAAAAGCTATTAGTCTAAATTTAAGTACTAATTCAACTCATTAGTACGTGCAAAACATTACAAAACGTTACAGTTCTCATTCATTCATTCATTGATATTAATTTGGTTCTTTAAATTCAAAGCATTGCGAGATAAATGAAACTAATTGACAGTTAATTAAATAATCAGAAGAATTCATAAGAAGAGATATTAAAGTATCGTGTGAAAGTGATTTGAAGTCAGGTATTTTAGTTTCTAGTTTGGAGAAAAATATGTCTCTGATCTGAGAATAAGCCTTGCAATCTAGTAAGAAATGATTTTTATCTTCGATTTAGTTACTTGTACAAAAGTGACATATCCTTTCATTGCGAGGAATGTTTTCGTATCTACCTGTTTCAATTCTAAGTTGATGACTACTTATTCTAAATCTAACTAATGCTTTTCTCGAAGGGTTTTTTCTTGTTAAAACTAGGTACGGCGAGGGGCTATAGTCGTCTTTGATTGTACAATAAAAACTGAGATTTTGTGATTGTTGAAGGGTCTGATTCCAGTAAGAGACGTATTTATTTTTCATTATGCCGATATACCTGTTAACTATTGAGTCACTCAATGAATTACAGGAAAAGTCATAGTTTAGATCATAGTAGTCAACCATTTTCATGAGATTAGAGTAAAAGTTAGTTTTTCCGTTATGATGAAGGTCAATTGAAATTTGTAAGGCCTGTTTAACTACAGAATCTTCATCTTTACCTCTCAGATAGTCTAAGTAATTTAGAATGTTTTTATTTATATCAATGATCATGAGAAATTTACCGAGTTCAGCTGTACAAGCAATGCTGGATGCCTTGTTATGTACTTGTAAATAACGTTTACAGAATTGCTGTTCTACTATTTGCTAGAAAATCAATTTGAGACTTGTGAAGTATATTATTTAAGTCAACGTGCCTTAGAAGTCTCTGATTGAGAATTGAACAAAATAGTTTTCCAATACAACTGGAAATACAAATTCCACGGTAGTTTGATGTATCGCTTTTAGTGCCACATTTAAAAATTGGTGTAATGAGGCCATCACACCACATTTAGGGCATAGTTCCTAAGTCGTGGACCGTGTTAAATAGTTTTAGATAAACAGGAATTAATTCGTTTAGGCTAGATTTGATCGTTTTTGATTTTGTCTGAAAAAGAAGATTTGTTGTTTTTCAGTTTTCCAGCTGCAGTGCGAATTTCACTTTCAGTGATGAGGTAATCCAAGGAGTGAGATCGTGTCGTAATATCCTTTGATTTCTGCAACTCATCTATAATTGCCTCCTGCTGTTCATTAAGGGGTTCATTCGAGTGCAAAGATTGAAAGGGGGACATCCATTTTTGTTCAGAAATTGGAGGGGTGTAGGTTTCCTTCATAGTGTCGTCCATTGACTTCAAACAGTTCCAAAAGCTCTTATTGTTCGAATTTTCGACCGTATTTTCAAGTTCACAGATCTTATTGCTATAGTATTCGTTTCTCTTATGTTTCAAAAGGTTTTTATATTGTTTTAAGACGTTGTGATACTCTTCCCTGAGAGTATTGTTTAGAGGATCTCTATGTTTTTGATTAGAAAGTTTCCGCAGTTCATGTCTTTTATAGCGGCATTCTTTGTCGAACCATTTTTTGTTCGAAGATATTTTGCAACGTCGCTTTTTTGCTGTTTTGATCTTCAAACAGCGTTTGGCGGTTGAAATAAGAATATTTTCTACAGCATGAAGGTTCGTGTCAACATTTCTCGTGATTGTTGCAGTATTCATAAAATCGTGGATCATTCTTTGAATGTCTTCAGACTGTAATGTAGCTCTAAATTTTTGTGACGAATCGTTTTCCCAAAAAAAATGTTTTGGTAGAGGAGTCAAAGAATCATTTATAATTGCCTCGTTTGATGAATCATTATCTAAATGACGGTTAACCTTAAGCCATGTTATTATTGGACTATGATCTGATAAACTGTTCGGCTCTTCACTTAAGAAAGCAGTCAAAAATAGGGTACAATACCATGGGGAACGTTGTAATAGAGGGCAATTCATAGCACTGTGGAATACCACGTTTTAAAATCGTATATAATCGACTCTCTAGGACCCACAAACTATTTTATCACGCATTACACGAAAAAACCTAAAATTTTTAGTGATATGAGCTGTTCTTTTAGTTTCTGAACGGTGATTTTGCAGTATTTCGTATCCGTGGTGTAGTTAACGTGCAAATCTGTCACCGAACCACCATGGTGCAGCAATGGCTAAAATCATTCTCCCGTTACCAATCTGGATTTATCCTTTAGAATTGCCTCTTGGTCCCATTGTTTTTATCAGAAAGTGGTTTTGTGACGGGTTTATGGATGATTGAGATCATTGGCCGTAGACCTTACTTGATCCATCTTACTTAGAGTAGTCTCAAAAGTTAACGACCTAAGGCAGGCTTGACCTTCGTTCATGTAATTTACTTTTTATTGCATCAAGGCTTAATGCCAAGTCTGATACTTTAGTTTCATGGCATCGAGAACTTGGTGCCACAGCTGTTGATGCTTTCAGTTTTACCTGGGCTAATTTCAATTGTTACGCTTTTCCTCAGTTTTAGTCAGCTGTCTCGACTTTTGGCCAAAGAAAAAGGTAACCAAAACGTGTCCTAAGCCGTCTTCGCCATCTCTGTACGTTTTATTTGCAGTCACTCGTAAGAAAAGCACTGATGTTATAAAGACTCCTTCTACTCACTGCGCCGTCTTATTAACGCCTGTTGGCTCGGATATCAATCACGGAATAAAAATAAAACAGCGCTGTCACCTATTAGGCAGCAGAATGAAGTGAAATGCCCATAGTAACTTAGTAGATGTCATGGATGGAGTCTTTCCTTCAAAAGAACCCTTTTCAAATAATGAATATCTGATTTTGGGTACAAACTTGAGTCGATGTAGATTTTCTTGCCGTTGGCAAACTAACAAAAACAACTTTTCCAATGGCTTATGAAGCCAAAAAA